CATTTCGCCTTTAAGGGTGAGTGCAGGGATAGGAACAGGGGAGCGGTTGAGCACTAAGACCTCTTGGTTGGCAGCCATTTTGTGCTGGCAGCCTTGCGGAACCAGGTAAGCATGGGGGCTGGGAGTGTTGGGATCCGGGGGAGGCCGGGTGCTGAGTGTTTGTAGGGTTGCCAGTTGCCTGGCATTTTTGCCTCCTGGTCAGGGAAAAAAATCAGAAAATACCGGACATTGTAGGTGTCCAGTATTCTCTGAATTTTTTTACCGGACTATTCGGGTGAATACCGGACACCTGGCAATCCTAGTTCCAGAAAGCCTTTGACAAGGTCCCTCACCAAAGGCTCTTGTGTAAATTAGGTTGTCATGGGGTAAGAGGGAAGATCCTTCATGGATTGAGAACTGGTTAAAAGGCAGGAGACAAAGGGTAGGAATAAATGGTAAATTTTCAGAATGGAGAGGGGTAACTAGTGGTGTCCCCCATGGTCAGTCCTAGGACCAATCCTATTCAACGTATTCATAAATGATCTTGAGAAAGGGGTGAACAATGAGGTGGGAAAGTTTGCGGACAATACTAAACTGTTCAAGATAGTCAAGACAAAAGCAGACTGTGGAAAAACTTCAAAAAGATCTCACCAAACTTAGTGACTGGGCAACAAAATGGCAAATGAAATTTCATATGGATAAGTGTAAAGTACAGGCAGTCCCCGAGTTATGCGGATCCGACTTATGTCGGATCCGCAGTTACAAACGGGGATTTTCTCGCCCTGGAGGACTGGAGCAGCGGGACGCCCAGATGTGCTGCAGTCCCGCCGCCCCCGTCCTCCGGGGCGAGAAAAGCTGCTCCACGTCTCCCTGGTCTGCTGGGGGGCGGGGGGGAGCCTATTTCTCCCTATTGCAAGGGAGAAATCCTCAGTTAGGCTAGAAAGGCCTGTGTACAATATCCAACTTGCAAGTCTGACTACAAAGGCTCAAGGAAATACAAAGGCTCCAGATTACCTTAAATTTCTCAGTCCATTAGTTAGACTGCTCCCATTCGTAGCATATGATCTTACTCCACAAGCCTGCACGAGAAAGAAGCAAAATGGAGATGGTTTCCAGGTTAGGGACTTTTAGTTTCTGCCAAGTAAAGGGAAATCCAGTTCTCACAATGAAAGATGACGTTTAGTGTCACATGGAAAAGTAGTTACATAGTCTAGTTAGAATGTTCACAGGAAAGGTCTGTTAAGTGTACACAGGCATTTTCCAGGGTCCGCTATGAATTAGTGTTCCTTAACGGGCTATTTAACTTAACTTGTCTCTGCAAGTGCTGTCTAAAAATCTTGTGGGAGTTGTCACAGGAGCAAGCATGTAATAAATATGGCTAATATTTCATAACTTCAGATACAAAGATGAATATCCTTGCATAGAAACCACATAATCTTTAGTACCAGTTATTTTACATACATGTAGAGCTCTGCAAATCTTCAGGTATCCATTTAGTATCCTCATCCACAGATGTGGGATGTGGATATTTGCAGATACAAATCTTGTATTCGTGCAGGGCTCTAGGTCTATGACTATTCCCCCAAAAAGATTCTGAACAATCATAACACCTACCGGAGACAGTATGTGCCTGCACCATGCCCCACTGGGCTCTCATTATCTGTTATGTAACAAGAGATGGAGTCCATGACATGACTCTGTTTAGACTAAAATGGCAAGGTTCATTTGTAACTGTTCAGGTCTGACTGTGCCTTTAGTCAGTGAGGGCACACAGGCCGGCACACATTCAAATTAATGGGCTTCAGTGTTCCTTTGCAGTTATTATAAACCTGGTGTGTCTGCGGTGGTTTAAAGCATAACAGGTTTTTAGGTTTCCAAATCTGTGGCTCCTTGAGCTGTTGAAGTTGTAGCAGCAGTAGTCTTATATTCCTGGATAATAGTGACTGTGTCTGAGCTGTCAGATCTGAGGGAACTTTGTTTGAATAAAGCCCGGGCAGATGTGTGGTGCTAAAATGGGAACACATTTTCAGTAAAATTGTCAGATTCCTGGTTTAAGGCCATCAGGTCCACTGACTCTCACAATACCAAATATCCAGCATATTGAAATGCTTAAATGAGCGATCCCACTTCTTTTAGATTCTTCCTGAGCTGCTAAGATGCCAAAGTGCAACACCCACAAGTCTTCCAATGTTTCCTCCTCTGGTCTGAGCAGGAATCTACCTTGTGGTTCTACAAAATGAAATATCTTTATAGAAGCATATCTCTAACCTCATAGGCTACACTTGAATAGATTTAAGAGCAGAGTGAGTAATGATCATTTCCATGAATAGTTCTGATTGCCAGGGCTGGATTAAGAAAGAGGCCTTAGGGGGTGCAGCGCAGGGCCCTCGTCTGAAGCCACTAAAGCCCCTCTTTTCTGGGCCAGATCTTCCTGGCTGGCGGGAGGTGGCTTTGTGTGCTGCTGTTACTCCTCCAGCCCAGGCTGGTACTGTGTTGCTGGAAAGCTCCATCCCTGCTCTGCCCTCTCAGCTCCCATTGGCTGGGAATTGCAGCCAATGGGAGCACCAGGAGGCA